GATTGGAAACAGTGACAGAGTTTATTTTCTTGGGCTCCAAGATCACTGTGGATGGTGACTGCAGCCATGAAATTAAAAGATGTTTGCTTCTTGGAAGAAAAGCTATGACAAACCGACAGCCTATTAAAAAGCAGAGATGTCAATTTGCCAACAAAGGTCCATCTAATCAAAGCTATGGTTTTTCCAGCAGTCATATATGGATGTGAAAGTTGGACCATAAAGAAGGATGAGAGCCGAAGAACTGATGCTCTCCAACTGTGGTGCTGGAGAAGACTCTTGAGAGTCCCTTGTCAATCAAGGGACTGATTGACAATCAATCAAACCAGTCAGTCCTAAGGGAAATCAACTCTGAATATTCACTGGAAGGACTGATGCTGAAGCTGAAGCTCCAATACTTTGGCCACCTGATGAAAGGAGACGACCCAGTGGAAAAGACCCTGATGCTGGGAAAGATTGAAGGCAGGAGGAGAAGGGGACGACAGAGGATGAGATGGTTGGATGGCATCACCAACTCAATGGACATGAGTTTGAGCAAAGTCCAGGAGATAGTGATAGACAGGGAAGCCTGGCATGCTACAGTCCATGGGGTCACAAAGAGTAGGACACATCTTAGGGACTGAACAACAAAAGCCAGGATGATGCCCTGTGTGTCTCCCCACCCCTTGTGCCCTTTGTCTGGGTTTGGCTTCCCTTTCCAGACAGAACCACAGGATTTTTAAAGGTGGCTTACAGGCATGTTGTCCCATTTCCTGCTATGGGAATCAGGTTACCTATCTCTAGACTATCATCGCTGGGAAAGGCCCAGAGAAGTGAAGGTGGAAGTGGTCCACGTCACAAAGGGGCAACTGAAAATTAGAGACTGGGGGAGCCAAGATCTTCCTTTGAAATTTGCTTCTCTTCTGAAGATGGACCTCTTCCCTCTTGGTCTTCCTCTGCTAGCCTAAACCCTTTTAGGAAACAGACCCACATTCCTGGTGTGTTGGTCCAAGGGACCAACCCAGCCTCTCTGCTGAACACCACATTTTTCATAGCCTAAGTGTGTGGCTTGGATGAGATTTCTTTCAGAATCTGCTCTGGTTGACCAGCTCCCTGACACGTCCTCCTTAACCTTTGTTAAGGCCCCTCCCTCTACCTTCTCACTCTCCTTCCTTCCCCTTCCCCACCCCACCTTTTCCCTCCGCCTGAGGTCAGAGCCAGCAGCCGCTGGTGGAGGTGTCTCCGACAGGCTCTCTTGTGGAAGTCGTTAGCCCGGGGGCCCTTCTGAGTTCACTCACTTGTGGGACAGAGGCTGGAAGATGAAGGTCTGGGGCCCAAACCTGGGAAAACCAGAGAGCCCCAACCCCGAGTCATTCTGTATCCTTGCATCGGGAGACTGTTTTCTCCTTTTAGCTCATAAAATATGACAGAGGGAGGGGCACAGGAGAGGAGGAAAGACACAGAAGAGCCTGGGAAGGAGAAGGTGACACAGGATACCTGCAACCTTGCCTGTCTCCTAGGTTTTTAGTGAGAACTACAAGGAATCATCGGAGAAGGCAATGGCACCCCACTCCAGTACTCTTGCCTGGAAAATCCCATGGACAGAGGAGCCTGGTAGGCTGCAGTCCATGGCGTGGCTAAGAATCGGACATGACTGAGCAACTTCACTTTCACTTTTCACTTTCATGCACTGGAGAAGAAAATGGCAACCCACTCCAGTGTTCTGGCCTGGAGAATCCCAGGGACCGGGGAGCCTGGTGGGTTGCCGTCTATGGGGTCACACAGAGTCCGACACGACTGAAGCGACTTAGCAGCAGCAAAAGGGATCATGGAATGGAAGGAAGGTTGAGGACCACAGCGGGTCCCAGATAATGAGGAGCTGTTATTATGGAGGGAGCATGGGGCCATGCACCCTTAGGGAGGTGGGACACAGCCCAGGACCCCAGCCCACGGTCTACAAGTTCTCCCTGGCCGGAGGGCCTGTGGCCGGCTGAGCCCTAGCCTCACCTGGCTTTGCCGTCCAGTCCGGCAAGGGGCATACGTACATATGTAAAAACTCAGCCCCACTCAGTGTCACTTCCACCCCAAGGCAGGCCTACCTTCATGGTACATTACCTCATGGGTATTATTTCTCATGGAACTACATCTCAATTTAAAATTTAGGATATTATTAATAGCTCCTTGAAGGCAGAGAAGGTGTGCGGTGCTCTTGGCAGACCTGAGTGGGCACCTGAGCAGCAGTCACCCTTCCTCCCGCTGCCCACCTCCAGGAGCCGCCTGGCAGGTGACCGGGAGCAGAGAGCGCTGTGCCCTGCACCACATTGCCAAGTGCTGTCTTCAAAACATCACATCTCTGGGTCACTTCTCAGGGTCTAGGACACTGCTGACTGAGCCCACTACCCATCGCTTGCTCCTTGCTTGCCATTGACGGCATCTGGGTGCTCTGAGAGCAGTGAGCTGGGCAGGACCATCAGGCTTCCGGCCAGCCCAGGGGTTCTGGGGACGGTCAAGTCCCCTCACCACCCTCCCCTCTGCCCTTAGCAGATGCTTTAATTGGAGACCGGGCAGGCGGCTGCCTGGGCTGTCCCTCCTCCCTGGGCCTCCCCCTGGTCCATCTTTGCATCTGAAACCCTGCAGCAGAGAGGAAGACTGCTGCCCCAGCCCGCGGGAAGTCCTCCTCCAAGCGCAGACACTGAAGGGAGGATCACCGGGGGCAGCCAGCACCCTGACAAGTGGGCTGACTCAGAGAGTCTCCGGTCTGTCTCGCCTAAAAATCACCTGGAGTCAACTGATTAGAGACAAGCTAAAAAAGGACAATTGGAGAAATATGAATGTGGGCAATACAACGATATTATTAAATAATTGTTAATTTTTTTCAAATGTCTTAACGGCCTTGAGGTTATGGCGGAGAGAGCACTTGTTCTCAGGAGACACAGCTGAAATGTTTAAGGGTCAAGTACTGTGATGTCCACAATTTACTCTCGAATGGTTCAGCCAAATACACACGCGCGCGCGCGCGCGCACACACACACACACACACACACACATGCATTAAACTAATATGGCAAAATGTTAGTAAGTGTTGAATGTAAGTGGTGGGTATCTGGGTGATCAGTTTGTGTGTGTGTGTTTGAAAATGATCATATTACAAAGTTAGGGCCAAAATCCCCCGGATATTTTGTCTATAGACCCTGCCTTCATAGACCCTGTGATTTGGGGGGTCCAGGGGGTGCTGAGAATGAGGAGTTGAACAAGCTCCCCAGGTGTCCCTTGATGCAGCTGATCCTTGGAAGCCATCGGGAAAATGCTGCTCGGTCCAAAGGTAGAAACCCAGGCTCAGCTGCTCATTCTTGCTGGGGCAGCACCCTCTGCGCCCAGGAGCCTCCAGGCTGCAGCCTCGACTCCAGACAAACTGCCTCTGCCCAGCGCTCCAGCAACTTCCAACTGCTTAGACAGCACACTGTGTCCCACCTACTGGCCTTCGCTCAGAATGTCCCTTCTGGTTTTTTTCCCCCTTACCTCCCAATCTCCATTCTCCCCCATTTACATGGCTAATGTGTACCATCTCCACGTCCCCTCCTCCAGGAAGACTGGGTCAGTCACCCCTTTTTAGGTGCTCCTATAGAACCCCCAGCAGACTGATGCCCTTACGTGATTCCCACTTATTGGTCTGTGTTGCTCACTAGCATGAGAACCCCTAAAGAGTCCCCCTGTGGAATCCTCAGGGCTGTTCCCAAAGGCTCCGGCTTCCCTCCTTCTAGGTATGGTGAAAGGTCCCACTGCTCAGCCCCTGGAGGGGAGTGGGACCTCCCCACTGGCTAGTTCTGGCCAATGAACTATGATCCCAAGTGGAAGAACTTCTGGAGATTTTTTTTTTAATCCAACCCAGCAATGCACATTAGAGAGGGTGGGCCCCTGGGAGGCTGGGTCCCTGACTAAGTATAATACACACAGCCTCTTGATGATCTGTGCCAAGCAGGCAGCTTTGAAAAGAAACCTAACTGCTCTAGTCACTGTGACTGGGGTTTGTTAATGCAGTGTGACCTAGCCCAGCCTTACTCACTTCTATACCCCCAAATACCTGGCCCAACTGCTAGCACAAAACAATGCATATGATACAATTCCTATCACTTTTTCTTGGCTGTGGAACTAGCCTCAAAGACCAGGCAGACGCTCTAAGTCAGACAGGCTCCCGATGGGTCCTGAGTTAACCGTGAGCCGCCATCACCCTTTTACTCTGGCGACGGCTCCAGGAGGAGGGGAGGAACCTCCTAAGCGCCCTGCTTGTTAACATGTGAAGACCCTTCAGCCTTTGCACCATCTCTGCAGAAAACATCAGACAGGACCCCGTGCTCACCCCAGGGGACTCCAGCTACCACTGCGGCTTCTGCAGAAGTTCTCGAGGAAAGAAAGTGTGTTTCTGCTGCCTCTTGAGACCCCCATCTCTGTGGCCCTTTTCTCTCACCAGCTTGTCCTGGTCCCAAGCATGCTTCCCCCCGCCCAACCCGTCCCCAAGGACTGCAGGAGCTAAAACGATCCAGCGTGAGGATGGAAGGCCGTGGCCCGGAGGCAGCCTGGCAGCACTCAGACAAGTGGGAAACTCGCGGGGCTTCTGGCCTGTGCACATCCAGGGAAGAAGCAGGCGGAGGGCGGTCAGAGCTGCGGCTGCTTCACCCACGGACCCCAGTGGCCCAGACTGTCCTCCCACCTCCTGGCTTGTGGTCCTTAAGGCCAGTGAATTTTCAGATGCTTTGAGATGATGGGTGTTTTGTTTCCTCTTCCCAGAGGTCCCAGCTGAAGGCAGGGCAGAGCAGCCGACAGGGTGAGAGGTGGGCAGACTGTGGGCAGTCGCAGAGGAGACCCCAGGGTGCAGAACGCTGGACTTGTCCTCACCACTGAGTCGAGGTTCCTGGGCCACAGGGTGGCATGGCCCAGCCCCAGGCTTGCTCTTTGGACTCCTCACTCTCAGCAGGGCTGGGGCCAGGGGGCTACGCTTGTCCAGGGCGGCTCTGCAAGGAGGAGACTGTAACCCTGCTCATGTCTGTGGACGGCCTTGTACTGCCCAAAGCCCTTCCACATCCACTTTGTGCTCAGACCCTGAGAGCCCCTAAGCCGGGAGGGAAGAATAAAACCGTCTGTATTCGATAGTGGACAAGTTCAACAGAGAAGTGAAAAAGTGCCTTGGCCCCCATAGCAAGTCAGTGACAGAACCCAGATGGAACTGGGGCCTGGAGACCCCTATGACCAGTGTCCTGCCTGCTTTGCTCCGTTCTAAGTAAGAATAGGTGAAAAGAGCTTTCCAGAAGGGTCACACTTGGGTTCCTGTGCACACATGCATGCTCACACACACATACACACACTTTCAAACTGCTGCCCCATAGAGAGAAATATTGCTGGGGCTCGAAGACCGAAGTCCATACGGGAGACCTCTGAGCCTCTGTGAGCACGGTCCTGACCTCCGGGTGTCGCTGGGCTGGGGCTGTCACAGTGCCCGGGAGCCAGGAAAGGCCGTCCCAGCCAAGCCTCCTGTTGGCCTTTGTTCCTCGCGGTGACCAGTGGATGTGGGTGGCCAGTGGGTTCCTCATGGTGAACACACAGCTGCTGGTGGGCCCCGGGGGCTCATCTGGTTCAAATTTTCATAATTGGACTCCTGAGCCTGGGGCCTGTGGACAGGAGAAAGTTGGTTGACCACCCAAACAGGAGAGGTCTCTGACTGCCCAAACCCCAGGCCAGCAAAGGGTGGAAGCAGGGATGAGGTGGGCATCAGGGGCCTACGTCCAACAGGGCCTGGAGACCAAGCGAAGGTTGGAGGCGGGGCAGTGGCAGAACTTGCAGACCAGGGAAGGGACATCCAGGTGACAGCGTCGCAGATCAGAGTCTCCATCTTCTCAAAGGGATTCGTCTGTGGCTTCAAAACCCACCTCCAGGCCAGGCCTCCTGAGCTCCAGATGCTCTCCTGACTTCAGGACATCCTCCTGGGCCTCTCAGGCCTAGACGCCCCATGCCCTACATGCCTGCGTGCCCACCTGAGGCTCTCAACCGCCCCCTTCTCTCCTCGCCTTCAGCTCAGTAAGCGGCACCAGGGTTTCAGCTCCAGAACTGCTGGCTCCCTCCTTTGCTTGCGCGGCCCAGCAGGCCTCTGTCTGCCCTGCCTCTGTCCGCCCCATCTCCCCACCCTCTCTGTGGCCACCTTCAGCCAAGCAGCCGAGCCAGCTGCAGTCCTGATCAACAGCCCTCACAGTTCTCCTGCCTCCACTCCTGTTCAGATGGGGCCATTCGCCTACTTAAACCACTCACTGACTTCTCATTGCACTCAGGGTAAATCCCGCAGCCTGCCTGCCTTCCCTGCCTGCTTCCTGGGTCAGGCCTGAGCCTTTGTCTCACGGGTCGCCCCCAGCACCCTTACATGCCCGTACGGGTGCCTGCCTCCCATCTCTCGGTGTCCTCAGACAGGATGGCGGGTCTGAAGCAGCCACAACCCAGTGGCACCTCCCTCTCCTGGGGCTTTACTCTATCGCCGTGTCCATTTTTGTTTTTTTCTTTTCACAGCTCTTATTTTATAATCTAACATCTCTTGTTTAGGTATTTATTAAAATTCTCCAGGTTCAAGTGTGAGTTCTCTGAGATGGAGGATTTTTGCGTTACTTTTAGCATCCAAAACAGTGCCCAGTACATAGTAGGGATCAACAGATATTTTGAGCAACAATCAGCTTTCTGATTTGGGTGCTCTGGTGTGGTAAGTAAGTTAGCAAAGAAAATGGACTTTGCACAGGTATTTGAGAATGTGGGGGACTGCTGAGTGGACATCTGTAGAGAGGGTTCTGGGCTGGCAGTGTGGCTCTCCCAGCCCCCAGGCCCAGGTGGAGCAGAGCTATAGGAGTGCCTAGGCTTGTCTGAAGGGACGTAGACAGCTGTCACCGGCTTCCTGCCTCCCCCAAGCATCCCAGACAGCATTTGTTCTTTAACATGGGCCTTCACTTGGACAGACACCAAGAAGGAATAAGGGCCATGCTTCCTACCTTTTAGGTCTGTGGGCCCTTAACTAAGCTCTCAATATCTCTACTGACATTTTGCATGCAAAGCCTTCATTCAGCAGGGTGTCTGAGACAATGCTTGCCCGATGGTGGCTTTTGTGAAGATCTGTTCTAGAACACTGGGCACTATGGGAGGAAAAACACTGTCTTCAGGGACACCTCTAGGTGCACAGATAAGGCAGATACAGAAAAATGACCTTCAACAGAATGGGCACCAGGCAGCTGATCTGGGAGACAGCCAGCGTGAGGCCCAGAGTCAGTGCTGGGAACGTGGTGGGACGGGAGAGCCGAAGCAGGTCGGCGTGGCCTGGTCTCGCTGGTCAGCCTTGGTGGACTGAAGGAGCGGCAGCTTCAAGAGGCAGCAGGGAGAGCCTTGACACTGAGAAGGGCTAGAACCCCCGCCCCGGCCCGTTGTCTATTGTTTCTTCTTGCGCCGCTCTGCCTGAGAAGCCCGCACCCCTTTGCCAGTGGGAACCAGAGGGGCGAGGTGGGGTGGGCTAGCTCGCTTACCTTGGCAGAGCATCCGGGGTGACTGGGTGCTCTGTGTGAGGAAGAGAGAGAGAGGAGGCATGAATCTTCACGGTGGCCTTTGGGCTCCAAGCCCTGCTGTCCATTCCCACCCCGCCGTGAAAGCGGTCTGGAGGGAGATGAGCTAGCCAGCAGAAGGCGAAGGAGTGACCTGAAAGATGACAGTTACCTAGGGAGTGAGAAGCAGGAAGACCTGCTTCCCTGAGGCCCCTGAAGCACAGAATTCTTGGTGGGTTTGAAGACCCTGCGAGAAAGCCAGCACAGTCCCAGCAAAGATGGCAGCCAAGGCAACTGTGACAAATTTTGGATTTCATCCCGGGAGAGTCTGAGGCTAGTGCTACTCACCTGGGTGAGCTGAGAGGCTCTGGGAAGCCCCTTCTCTGGGGCACAGAACAAATCTCCCATCCAGCTTAGTGGGAGTAGGGAGGGGTGACCTCGGCTCTCTGAAGATAGCTTGCTAGTTCAAGCTTCCATGCTTGGATAGATGCTGTTCCTTCTGCTAGGAGCACTATAAGCTCCTTGTTCTCCAGCTCCCAGCTGCTTACAGCTTTTGGTTTAGCCTCCCTTTACTGTGCACAGCCTTGCCGCCTGGCTCCTGTCCCGATGCCCCATCAGAGAGAGGCATACATACTCAGGGCCTCTGCAGTACCTGGGTTGACTGCACTTCTCTCTGCAGACTGCAATTATCTGCTTACTTCTCAGCATCCCATTCAAGGACAGGGCACCATGTCATATTCATCTCTGTTTATTTCCAGCACCTATGCAGCATGTAGTTGGTGCTTGGGATGCTCTTGCAACCTAATGAATGAAATGGTGCTATTTGGGAAAGTCTGTGTGTGGTCAGAGCCCTTCTGGATGAGTCATTTATGCGGCACTCGGCAAAAGGGTGAGTCTGTGTCTCTGTGACTCGAGGCTGGAGTCGAGTTCCCTAACCTCTCTGGCCTCAGCTTCCTGATGGTAAAATGGGCTTATGCTGGCTGGTACCTCCTGGGCTTGATCAGGGAGGGGAGGGAGATGCACCGGTGCATAAATGATGTTCCAGTTGTGTCATGCCAGGTGTTCAGCCTGGAGGAGAGACCCACTTGCCCTGAGCACCCATCCTAGCCCAAAGTCGCACCCACCTAGGCGATGATGGGCAGCGGCCCGAACGCCCAGAACGCCGAGCAGCAGCAGCGCCTTGAGGCCGAGCGCGCCGAGCAGGAGGGCGGTCGTCGACGCCCTGGATGCGCCGTGGAAACGAAACAAGTAGACGCTGGCTTCGGCGCGGCCCAGGCTGTTGGAGGCCGTACACGTGTAGCGGCCGTCGTGGGCCAGTGCGGGCAGCTCAGCGGTCACCTGGTGGCCGGGATCATGACCTGGGCTCCGAGTGGCGGCCAAGCCGTCGCCCAGGGCCGGGCCGGACCAGGTGAGGGCGGGCGATGGCTCTCCTTCAGCCGTGCAGAGCGCGTGGAAGGCGTGCCCTGGGCCTGGTAGCACAGAGATGTTGACGATCCGCGGAGCGGCTGCGGGCGGCGGCCGGAGGAGCACCCAGGAGAAAAGCAAAACGCGGTCAGAGCAGCGGCGGGCAAAGAAAAGGGTAAGGGGCAGCCCTCCTTGTCCCCTTCGCGGAGAGGGTTGGAGGAGGGAGCGGGGATAGGATATGAGAGGAAGGAAGAGGCGCTCAGGGCGCCAGGGCGTCTGGGTTCCCAGAACAGGTGTGGCCTTTGGCAAGTTATTCCATCGCTCTGGGCCTTAGTTTCTTCACGTGTAAAATGGGGATCACTTATTTTGTGAGGTTCTGGGGAAGATCTGACAAGTTAATTCATGTGGGGTGCCTGTGCAAGTGCTTTCTAAACGTCATTATTACGTGGTAGCGCATGATTGGGGCTTCCCCAGGTGGCACTAGTGGTAAAGAACCCACTTGTGAATGCAGGAGACATAAGAGACCTGGGTTCGATCCCTGGGTCGGGAAAATCCCCTGGAGAATGGAATGGCAAACCACTCAGTATTCTTGCCTGGAGAATCCCATGGACAGAGAAGCCTGGTGGGTCGAGGTTGCAAAGAGTGGGAAGCGACTGAAGTGACAGCATGCACGCAGGCAGTCGCCCGATAGCGGCGGGTAGTTTGGGTGGGGGGGCGGTGTGCTGGAGAGATTTCAAGGGCACCTCCCAGACAGCCTCACTGACATCTCAAGTGGAGACAGATTCACCGAATCCCTGAGACTGAGGCGGACAAGTCCGAGGAAACTGAAATGAGGTCAGAGAGGCTGCCCAGCCAGCCCAAGGGCACATGAGTAGTTCTTGGCAGAGCCAAACTAAATTCATAATGCCTGGGTCCCCCACAGCAGGGGTCTTGGATTTTTTTTTAAAAAAAGCTCCTTAAGTCATTCCAGAGCTAGCCACGCTTGAGAATCACCTTTCTAGGATTCTGCAACCCCCCCACCCCCTCATCCTTAAACCTCAGGGTCTAGCGTATTTCTCCCCGCTAGTCTCAGGGCTGTTGGGGCACACTCACTCTCTACAAGCTTCATTGCAGCACCCATCCCAGGCTCCACCCATCCCGTCCCGGGGCCAGGATTCCGCAGCCTTTGAACCAGTTACGCGGGGGCGGGGGGTGGGGGGGGTGTGTTTGTGGCCCTTCCAGGTGTGAGCGCACCCTGCTCTAGAGGAAGGGGTGTGCCCGTTGTAACCCCTCGGATCCCAGCCTAGAGCCCGCACCGAGAGCCGCGCGGGACGCGGCGAGCGAGGTCGGGCGGCGCGCTCACCCGTCACGCGGAGCCGGACGCCCTGGCGGCTCTCGTAGCGGTCGTGGACGTCGCCCGCGAACTCGACGCGGCAGAAGTAGCGGCCGTTGTCGGCCAGCGCGAGGCGCTCGATGCGCAGCGACAGGTCGTTGCGGCGCGGGTTGCCGAGTAGCCGGAAGCGGCCGTGCAGGCTGAGCGCCGTCTGGCACAGCTCGCTGCCCCGCGCCGCGGCGCAGCGGAACACCTGCGGGCCGGCGAAAGGCTCGCCCGCGCGCCAGATGGCTGTGAGCGGCCCGTCGTAGTGGCGGTGCGGGTGCGTGAAGGTGCAGGGCAGCACCGCGGCCTCGCCCGCCGTCGCGCTCACCTCGGCCGGCACCTGCATGGACCAGCGCTGGGCGGGCGCACCTGCGGGCAGGACGCACCCCGAGGTGCCTGGAAACCCCTGGGGCGCAGGAAGCGCCCTCCTCCCCTCGCGAGTCGGGGTGGGGGGCGAGTCTGGAAACCCACCCGAGGACTTCAGAGGCATCTCCCAAGACCTTGACTCCCATGACTTTCTAGGTGCCTGAATCTTCCCCTGCCCCTCCAGCTCCCCCCTCCGCATCCCCGCTTCCCTGGGACTGTTTGCCTCACTCAGCACGTCCCACCTCACCTACGGGCCCAGTGTTCCCAACCTCTTCTCCATCAAACCTGCCCTGCTTCAGAAAACCCCGGGACCTGTGGTTACAGACCCTTCCCACCCCCAACCCCCCACCTGATGATGATAATAGTAAAGGCACTTACTGTTCATCTCTGTGTTGAGCAAGTTCCCAGTGGTATCTCTCTTAGTTCTCACAAGTGATCCTAGAGGTAAGAAGAGTTACCCCCAGGTTACCTGCTAATAAACCAGGGCACAGAGAGGTTGAGTAATTGCCTGAGGTCACACAGCTAGGATGAGGCAAAGCGGATGCTCAGACTCGGGACCGCCTGGCTCCTCTGCTGCACTCTAATGCACTAAGGCATAGAAACTTGGGCCTTATCCAAGGAGAGCAACGTTCCCGTTTACAGAGGGGCAACCGAGGCCTTGGGAGGGGGTGGTATGTTTTGAAGCTGATGCGTTGAGTTGGTGACTGAGGTTCCTCTGTGCTCCAGTTTCACCCAAGTGGGCTTTCCAATAGGCCAGTGCCCAGACAGGGAGCTGAGAGACCAGGAGGGCAGACCTTTAGTGCTGCCTTCCTGCTCTGCACAAGTGCTTCTGGGCTCAGGTTTCCTCACCTCCTAAGCCGTGGGCCTCCGAAGTGTGGTTGCGCTAAGGTCTGCAAGCCGCACTCTGCAGCAGCTTAGGGAGGCTGGAGATCACTCACTGCCTCTGGTGTTGCAGACGTGTGCTTCTTTGGGAGAAGGATGAACAGGGTGGGCGGATGGGTGTCAGTGCTGGGAGAATCAGGCCAAGGGGTGCCTCCTCTAGGAAGGGGGGCAGGCTGAGTCGCTGGTGCCTGGGTGCAGGGATCTTTACAAGGAATAATATAGCAGCCCCTGTATTTCCAAAGGGCTTTGCAATTTGCCAAGTTCTTTCACATACATCACATCACATGACTTCAAGTCCAGTGCTCTTTGCTCTTGGCGGTAGCCCGACTTGTATCTTGGGTGGGAGTCCCCTCAGCTCACAGCAGGCAGACCATGCTCCAGGGAACCCATCCCCGCTATGAATAATCTACAGGTCAGGGAATTCGTCCTGGGCATTCAGACTCAGGCCTGCCTGACTCCCCTGCTGCACTCTAGTGCCCTATGGGCATAGAAATTCGGGCCTTATCCAAGGAGAGCAACATTCCCAGAACCAATGTCTCCTGCCCCTCACATGGCCACTGTCGCTGTCTGGAGCCTTCTCCCCTCTGTGATGGCCCTCCCCAGATCCCATCCTGGCTCTCCTGGACCCATAAGCCTTGTCCTCCCTGGCAGATGTCCCAGCCCTTCACTTGCCCATCTCCAGCCTCACTGGCCACTTGGGGCTCTATCTGAACTGTCCTGAGCCCAGGGCCTCCACATGTGCTGGGCCAGGCAGAGTTGGGTACCAAATGGGTTGTGTGAGCTGTGTCTCACATAAAACCTCACTTTGGGATTGCCCCGAACTTGCAGTGAAATAAAACCACAACTCCCCCCCCGCCACCCCCCCAGTCTGTTTCTAAGCCGAATCTCCTTTCTTCTGGACAAATGGAAGCACACTTTTGAACCCCAGCTGGGGACTCCACGTCTATTCCTAGTAAGAGCTTGTTCGCCCAGTTGTTAATAATCAGAGGGCCTACTTCCAAATTTGAGAAAACTTTCTGAAGGTTTGCTCATTCATTCAGTACTTCCAGCTGCAGAAAGCATCTCCCAATCTTGAGGCTCAGCCCCTGCCTCAGTTCCCCTGCACTCCCACCCTCTGTAACCTCAGCCTCCTCTGACCTCCTGCCTTTCACAGGCATCATGGAGCCAGGCACCGATTCCCCAGGGATTGTTTGATGTTGCTTGGACACATTCCCCCCTCAAAGCCAGGCACTGGGACCAGAGCTGGGGCTACAAAGGACAAGAGAATAATTTATCAGCCTATTGGAGCTCACAGCTCAGAAAGGGTGCCAGGTCTGTGAACCCGTAGTTACACTAAAGCCTGCCAGGAGGGACACGAACAGGGATCTCTCTGTCTGAACGTGGGGCAGAGCCCTTTCATTCACCAACTCCTTCCTACTTGTCCCCAGACCTCACTGAGTCATCGTGCAGTGGGAGACTTTCCTTGAGCCCCAAGCCTGGGTCTGGTACCCCTTTCCCCAGAACTTAACTGCGTCTTTTGTCCAGGCACCCAGGGGCTCCTGGAGGGCAGGGACCATGGGTGGGGGTCTTATTTGTGCAGCTGTTGCCCAACAAGCACCTGCCCGTAGTAGCTGATGTTGACTTGAATTGTGTGAGAGAGCAGAAGCGAGGGAGCCCAGGTTGGCAGGAAGTGTGGGTGGACAGGGGCTGATTGGAGGCCCCACGAGAGAAGAGCTGCCGCCTTGGGAAAGGAGTGGGGTTTGAGGTAGGCTGCAGGGATTCTAGGCAAACGGCGAAATAGATTATGGACATCAGCATAGACAACGCAGATGTGAGGATGAGGGGGCCAGAGTACGTGTGCCCTGGGGCTTGGGAGCAGACATTGTGAATCTTATTTCATAAGCACAGCAATCCATGCATGGAGTACGGTTATTGGCCCCCCCATCTGGAGAAGGAGATCTGAGGCTCAGAGAGCCAAGAGACTCGCCCAAGTCACTTGACCAACCAGGCAGAGCCAAGTCTTCCCCTTGCAGTGTCACTGAGCTGGACCCTATGAGGCCTCCGCAGGATAGACTCCACCCATGTCCTCCGCCTGCCTTTTGTCTGTAGAAAAACCTTAGTCAAAGAATAAACTTCATCAGAGAAGTGGAAAAATGCAAAAAGAAGGGAAAACAATCAAGCAAGACAAAACAATATTACCTTATTGTTATTGCCAATAAACAAAGTCAAGGACCTTTAGTTCTTCCTCAAGGACTATGGGGCTTCCTAGGTGGTGCTAGCAGTAAAGAACTTGCCTGCCAATGCAGGAGATGGAAGAAATGCAGGTTCGATGCCTGGGTCTGGAAGATCTCCTGGAGAAGGACAAGGCAACCCACTCCAGTATTCTTGCCTGGAGAATCCCATGGACAGAGGAGCCTGGTGGGCTACAGTCCATGGGGTTGCAAAGAGTCGGACACAACTGAGCGATTTAACACACCCGCACAAGGACTGTAGGTGATATTCTGTGCATGTCCTTTAGCTGTTTTGCAGATACTGAAACTCCCACCAGATAGAAGAAGTTAACTGCATGCAACCCACAAATGTGTAGACCCCAGACCAATTGAAACCAGAAGATGATGCTGACTCTTGATTACGTCTCCAGCAACCAATCAGAAGAATGTCCGTGAGCCCATCACACCCTGCTCCTTGAACATTATATGATCCCTCACTACCCCTCCAGGGCAGGACACACAGTTTAGGTCACCAGGAGGCCCACATTCTTCCCAGTGTCCAAAAGGCAGTGTTGAGGGCATTAGCCCTTTGCCTGGAAGAGTAATAGAGCTATTTCTTTCTACTTCACCCCAAACTCTGTCCCCAAGACTTAATCCAACACTGGTGTACAGAGGTTGAATTTTGACTACACGTGGGTCACGTCCCTGGATTCTGTCTGCCTGAGGATGGCAGCCTGGGTTGGGAGCATCTTGGCATGTAGTATAGATGATCAGCCAGGGCCCTTCCCTCCCTGAGTTCTGCTCTAGGAGGAGAGAGGGCTCACAGAGGCCCTTTCACCTAGTGTGACAGTTTACCTGCTGTGTGGGCTTCCAAGAGGTGGCACGGGGACTCACTATTGGATGAGTCCACCCAGGGGACTCGAGGTGAGGGAAGTCCCAACAGGAATTACCCACGGAGCAAGTACATTTGCTTTGGCAGGAATCCAAACTCCCTGATTCCCGTGACGTTTACCACTCCTTCTCGAAGCTTCTGCATGTCTCTTAGGACCAGGCAGGGATGGCCCCTGAGCTGGAAGCACAGCCTCTTTTATGGGGAGGGTCTCTACCCTCTCTGCCTCATCTCTGTCAGCCTCCAAGTGTCACCTGGAGGCCTGCATTCTTCCTATTGTCCGAAGCGCCTCCCCTCAATGGTGGGCCTCGGGGTGCGGTGAAGAAGGTGGATGACATTCTCACTTGTCTGGAGGACCCAGTCTGTCCCTGGCACTATTCTAGGCAGATCCACTTACAGGGAGATCTTTGGGCCATATCTGTTGCTTAACGTCCCAAGCCTCAGGTTCCTCTGCTGCAAAACGTGGAACATGGTCCTTTCCTCATAAGATTGAGGATGGAATGAAGTCACCCATGAAGGCCACCTCGACAGTGCTGCCACTCAGCGAACGCTCAGTGATGTTAATTCCCTCCTTCACTAGCTCTGCAAACAGACAGGGACCAGGAGGGAGCAGGGGGCTGTGCTTTTTAGGGGTGCAGAAGGAGGACTCTGGGCGGAAAACTCAAGCAACGCAGTGGGGGATTGTTTTGGCTCCGGACACTGCACTATCTGTGGCTCAACTTGACACCTTAGGCATGCAATAGCACAGGCCTTGCCCTTGGCTAACCTGAGAGCTGGTCATTGATTCATGTATTTTTTTCACTCAATAGATGCTTATTGAGGGTCTATCAGGTGCTTAGCCCTGTGCCGGGTGTTGGGGATACAGAATCAGTTGCCTCCTCAGTGTATTTACAGCCTGGCTCAGCCACTGTTTGTTTTTCATTTACTTACAGTTCTAACAAGTTTGTTTAATTAGGTTCCCAGCTTAGGGAAATAACAGACTGAAAAGCTAGAAAGTGACTTCTGTTTGTAGGTCCACTGAAAGCAGCTTGGGATGATAATCAGCATTTGTTCCAGAAGGAGGGTTCAGAAAAAATAATGTGATGACTCAGGATGGGAAATGATCAAAGTGCAGCACAAATAGGACCCTTCAGAGGACGAGTAAGTGGAGGGGGCCTTGAGGCATCACTCCCCACAGCAGGCTGCTGGGACAGGTGCTCGTGGCCATGACCTGAGTCACCTTGGAAGGGTTCATTGCCGTGAGAGGCGTGCCCCTCAGGTGGGGTCTCAGGCTCTGTCTGGGGTCATAGCCCTGGCTAGGTTTCCCTGGTGGCTCAGACGGTAAAGCGTCTGCCTACAATGCGGGAGACCAGGGTTCAATCCCTGGGTCGGGAAGATCCCCTGGAGAAGGAAATGGCAACCCACTCCAGTATTCATGCCTGGAAAATCCCCTGGACTGAGGAACCTGGTCGGCTACAGTCCATGGGGTCGCAAAAGAGTCAGACACGACTGAGCGACTTCACTTCACTTCAGACTGGCCGTGACTTTGTGACTTTAGGTGAATCCTCATAGCTCTGACTTAAGTGGGCTCATCTGTGAAATGGCGTCTGTAGATGTTTACTAAGGAGACTTTTAAATCTAAAAGTCTATGTCCAAAAATGATATCTTGATAAAAATGACAAAGATGTCTAGCAAGCATTTTAGAAATATGGCAATCTAAAATTAATTGAGAGACTTCTAGGTATTTTAAAACAAGCTATTAGTTATCCAGTAAATTCAGCTACTTGGAAAGAGGTGCCCATGTTTGATGGTCCCGCACAGCCACTTACTAAGCTTTCAGAGTTGCTCCCATCTCCCCATGGTGACGATGCTCACTGTGGGAGGTTGGGGGCTGCTCACTGTGGGAGGTCAGGGGCTGCAGTGCTGAGTGCCAGCTTCCAAAGCCCTGTGCCAGGGGTGCCAGGGTGGGACAGGGACTCAGCGATAGAGACATCTGCAGAACCTGAACACTCCATTCTCACTTTTCCAATTCCCTCCTGCCCCGCAGTTTGTTCTCAATAACTCTGCCTTTCGGGCCTGCATGTAGCAGTCCAGACAGGTTATCAGCAGAGAAAAAGTGAGAAAAGGGTGGAGACCAGAGGGGAGAGGAGGGAGCAGAATCGGGAGTCCATCCTCCACCGAGAAGCAGACCTCACAGGCCCAGGGACAAGGGAGGCAAAGGGAGAAGTGAGCTGTTGAAAGGCCTGGCTGTTCCCGTCTGCCCTCGGTTGTCCTGTTTCCCCTTTAACCCTTGCCTCTTTGGCTGCGTGGTTGTGGATCTGGACCCTCTCGCTGGGCTAATGGAGATGCAGAACCATGAGTGGAGCCTGCTCCAGGGCCAGTGTCCGTCACTGGAGTTGCTCTTGGGAGTTCTGATTCAGCCGTCCCTGCCGTGCTCCCAGTTCCTACACCCCTCCTCCTCCCGGGGCAGGACTTCTCCGTCCCAGCTGCTGGCCACAGTAGCCACCACGGACAGAGGAAGTGTCCTGGCTCATCCCATCTTCATTTCCTGCTAGGCCCATGATAGCAGTCCCTGACCTTTCCCCAGGTCCCAGATAAACCCCCCATGACCTTGGGTGACTGTGCAAATCGTCTTGCCTTTCCAGTTTGTTTTTCTGCAGGAGTTTAGAGCTAGCAAAGTAAGTTTCTCTGAGCCCCAAGCTTTGCCTCAGGCTCACCACCCACTGCACACAGGTGTAGGCAGTGTCAAGGGCAAGCCTGGCCCTCAGGAGACTCCAGGTCTCATCCAGGCTCTGACACCCAGAAGTCCCCTGACCTCCTTGAGCATCCCTGAAAACAGGGACAAGGGTCTTCACTTTGCAGGGTTGTGGTGAAGAGGAAATGAGCTGCCATCAAAGGCCCAGCACGATGGTCCTTCAGGTTGACAACCACTGTGGTCGCTGCACCAGTCATCAGAGATTTGGGGACCAATGGAGGTCTTGTCTGAGGTCACCAAGTGGCCGGAGCTCCCAGACCACCGCTCTTCCCACCACCTCTCATGTCCCCTGACATCACCCACTTTCTAACAGCAGATCTGTTGGGAGGCAGAACGGAAAGAGAAAGGAGAGTGTGTGGGCCGCCTGGGGATGAGGGGTTGCCCCAGGACACCGGGTGCAGGTAGGGGGCGCCAGTATGAGGGAGAAGGCACAGCAAATGGGAGCAGGGGGCGGGGTGGGGGGGCGGTGGGTTTTCTGCATGAATTCCTCCCTCTTCACTTTTGCCAAAGGCCAGCCCAAGGTCCTGTGCTTGCTCACAGGTGTGACAGGATGGGACTGTCCTGGGGTCTCCCTGCCCTCTGGCTGCTCGAGCTCTGGCCCCTTCCAGGCCTGCCAGCCCATGGAGAGGCTCCCGGGTGAACAGCCCCAGGGGGGTTTCAGGCAGTGAGACGCTGCTCCCCCAGAATTCATGACCTACTGGTTTCAGGCAGGAAGCAGCTGCCGGCCACGAGAAGAGGGGGTCCCCTCCCTGGGCCGGCTGCCGAGGCTCCCACGGATGCCCAGCCTCCCTGAAGGACTGTGATGCATAGCTGGAGCATTTGTGTGGGTTGGGGTTTGTACTTCAGCATGTGACTTCTCATGCTTCCTCTAAGTTTTCTTTCTCTTATTTTTTGGCCTTTTTTGTCTGATTCATAGCTGCTGACTCTTGGAGGAGAAAGAAAAACAATCCCAAACAAAACAGCCCTGGAAGCTATCTGACTTGAGCAACATTTCACTGCCATTTAACCGCCCAGCTGCTGAGTGCCAGGACTGTGCTGGGGGCCTTCCATCCATGACCCGATTCTCCTTCACAGCACCTGTGGAGTGGTGGGGACCCCCATTTAACAGGGCTCAGAGAAGTTAGGCAACCTGCAGGTGGCGCTAGTGGTAAAGAACCCTTGTGCTACTGCAGGAGACGCGGGAGATGCCGGTTCGATCCCTTGGTCTGGAAAACTCTCTTGTGGAGGGCATGGCAACCCACTCCAGTGTTCTTGCCTGGAAAATCCCATGGACCGAGGAGCCTGGCAGACTGCAGTCCATAGGGTCGTAAAGAGTCAGATTCGACTGAAGTGACTAAGCATGCCCAGAGCCACCCAGTGGCAAATAGCAGACCCAAGATTCAGTGCTTCCCTGACCCACTCTCCAGTCTGCCCCCAGGCCTGGGGAGGGTCACCTCCTCCAGCCCCACCCTCTATGTGAGTAAGTAAGCGTTAGTTGCCCAGTCGTGCCTGACTCTTTGTGATCCCATGGGCTGCAGCCCACCAGGCTCTTCTGTCCATGAGATTTCCCAGGCAAGAATACTGGAGTGGGTTGCCATTTCCTTCTTCAGAGGATCTTCCCGACCCAGGGATCGAACCCAGGTTTCCTGCGCTGCAGGCAGATTCTTTACCGACTGTGCTACAAGGGAAGCCCACCCCTAAGCCATCCAGAAAGATTTCTGAATTGGGTCAACTTGGCCAAAGAAACCCCTCCCCTATCAGCCGCCATCACAGGGCTTTATGGGTGGGACTGTGGGCAGTGTGGGGTGGGAGCTGGTGGTGTGGTCCCAGATTGGGGCACACATCCCCAAGAATAGGACTCTGCGGTGTGCTGAAAGCTAGAGAGAAAGGACTGAGAACCTGAGAGTGGGAATTTATAATCCAGTCGTGGAGACAGGACTCCACCTACGGAAGACTAACAGTTTGGAGCACTGTGATATCAGTGGCCAGTGGCTGCACACAGACAGGCCTGGATGCTGAGTCCAGGGACATCGTCACGAGGTGGATGTTTCAGCCCAGGTGGGGTCGAGGAGAAGACTGGGGCCTGCACACTGGGGACATGAGGATTGCCTTTGTCATTTATCCCAGTGGCCCTTGACTGCATCCTGCATCAGAATCACCCAAATAGATGGTTGACAATGCTGGTTCCTGGGCCCTGCTTCTGACATTTTCTGATTCTGCAGAGCAGAGCTGAAGAGTATGCATTTTAACAGAGGCTTGCCTCCCCTGGGATTCTGATGCACATGGTCTATGACCACATTTTGAGACACGCTGTTTCCAGGGACACCAACTCCTTGAGCTAAATGACCTTAAGTGAAGTGACACTGTTACTCAAGCCTGCTGCTAAGAGTTCCCACTCCCTTCTTGGGGTTCCTGCTGGGCAGAAGGGTGCCCTCGATCACTTACCTACTGCCCACAGGAAGGTGCCACCCTTACCCCCAACCAGCCGTGTGCTCTCCCCGCTTTCCCAGGGGGAGCCCACTAAGATGCGCTTGGATGACAACACCACCTGGAGCCTGTCCTCCCCAGAGCTGGCCCGCCGTGCCCCCTGGCTCCTCACAGCAAAGGGCGGGGAAGGCGGCCTTTCTACAGGTGGGGATATGGAGACCCAGAGGAGCCCGGCACTGCCTCCATCCCCGGAACCCAAGGCAAAGCCTAGACGTAGAGTTATGGCCTCTGTCACCACAGTCTTCCAAACGGCAACTCTCCCTTCTCCCAGGCCTGGAGGCCCTGGCACCCCAGCTGCCCTGAGTGCAGAGAGTCTGAGTGCAGGGCACCCCAGCTGCCCTGAGTGCAGAGAGAGGACTGTCCTGCCCAGTTTATGAGCACCTCTTCCCTTCTGAAAACGCGCTGGAGCGAACAGTGGGAAACTCACCCATCGGGACGATGCACACCAAGCAGGCCAGGAGTCGGAAGGACACTTCCATGCTGTGAGGTCCGGAGACCCCGGGCCAGCCCCACGCTCAGCCAGGCCCCTGGCGAGACCCCTCCTTGGCGTGGGTGTGAGGGGGGAAGGAAGGTGGGAGGGGGCAGGCGGTGTGCCCGGGTCTGCAGCCTGCAGGTCTCTGCAGGCGCCGGAGGAACTGAGAGGCAGCCGGGCGGGCCCAAGCATGATTAACTGAGACCCGTGGGGTTTAGTCATGTGGAAAACCAAGAGGGGAACCACTCGGATGATTTTCCAGGATGGGAAACAGGGAAGTGGATACAGAAGATGCAGGACACTTTCCTGTGGCCGCCGTCCCTTCGGCAAATCTGCTGTTCTCTTGGTTTCCTCCCTCTGTCGCTCCTGCCCTATCCCTGCCTCCTTTTGTTCTCTAGCCCTTCCNGGTTCGACTCCTGGGTCGGGAAGACCCCCTGGAGAAGGGATAGGCTACCCAGTCCAGTATTTTTGCGCTTCCCTTGTGGTTCAGCTGGTAAAGAATCCACCTGCAATGTGGGAGACCTGGGTTCGATCCCTGGGTTGGGAAGATCCCCTGGAGAAGGGAAAGGCTACCCACCCCAGTATTTCTGGCCTGGAGAATTCCATGGACTACACCCATGGGCTCGCAAAGAATCAGATGAGACCGAGCGACTTTCACTTTACTTTTATGCAGGTGTTGAAGTGATGATTACTGATGGAAGGGAAAAGTTGTCTCCAAAATGTAAACCTCATTGACAATGGTCACATGACCATGCAGCATGAATGGGAAATAGTAAAATTATTAAGCAAGTCAGCCCTTGTCAGAACGATCAGAACATCAACATGCCAGGTTAAAATATCCCATGACAAGGGCAGAGTCTCGGTATCTGTTGCAAGGAGATAGTAAGGAAACTGGACAAAAATGTGGCCAGGCAAGGGGTGGGCAAGGATGAGCCAGTTGCTGAATAGGAGGAGGTGTTTTTGTTCAGATAAAAGTTAACCTGTTGGGAAAACAGTGATTCCCAAATATAATGGATTAAAAAAAGAGAAGGTGATTTCTCCCATGTATCAGTCCCAAAGTGAGCTCTTATGCCGGCAGGTGCCCTTGCTTCTCATGGTCATTCAGAGATCTAGGTTCTTTCATACTGTGACTCTGCTACCCACTCCACCCCCCCAGGGCATTGCTGACACCTTCAAGGCTGAAGCTGAATATCAGTTCAAGGTCTAGCTTTTGTGAAGGGGGAAGGCAGAAACCCTGTCTTGTCTTTTTGTTATCCAGGATCCAGAAGTTGTACACATCACATCTGTTCACATCCCATTGGCCCCAAGTTCATCACACAACTGCACCTACTGCCAGGGAGGCCTGGAAGTGTGGTCACTGGCTAGGCGACCATAAGGTCAAGTTAAAGTTTTATTACAAGGGAAGAAGGAAACAGATGTTGATGGATAGTTCCCTATCTCTGCCAAAGATATTTGCTCTAACTCCAGAAAACCAGAAAACTAAACTTGGCAGAAACAATTTATTCCATAAACTCTAAAATGTCATTGAAAGATGAACCCCTTGCCCACTCTCACTACTACTATTCAACATAGTTTTGGAAGTTTTGGCCACAGCAATCAGAGCAGAAAAAAAAGTAAAAGGAATCCAGATAGGAAAAGAAGAAGTGAAACTCTCACTGTTTGCAGATGACATGATCCTCTACATAGAAAACCCTAAAGACTCTACCAGAAAATTACTAGAGCTAATCAATGAATACAGTAAAGTTGCAGGATATAAAATTAACACACTAAGTAACAATGAGAAAACAGAAAGAGAAATTAAAGAAACAATTCCATTCACCATTGCAACGAAAAGAATAAAATACTTAGGGGTATACCTACATAAAGAAACAAAAGAACTATACATAGAAAACTATAAAACACTGATGAAAGAAATCAAAGAGGACACAAACAGATGGAGAAACATGCCGTGTTCGTGGATTGGAAGAATCAATATTGTCAAAATGGCTATACTACCCAAAGCAATCTATAGATTCAATGCAATCCCTATCAAACTACCAACGGTATTTTTCACAGAACTAGAACAAATAATTTCACAATTTGTATGGAAATACAAAAAA